GGGTATTCAATTTTGGTTACAGACTCCAAGTAACTAGGAATCTAACGCTCATTCAGTAAATTCAGTCTTTAAACGAAACCAGAAGAACAACCAAACAACAAACAACCCACCCTCCACTAGAAACACAATTTCCATTTGGAATTCATCTAGCACCTACTACACCTTTTTATGACTGCGTACGCTAAACAAGCATGTCTTAATTTAGTCATTAAATTGGGTAGCCATCATATATCTTTTTTCTATGTCTACAAGAGCATAGACAAAAAAAACTCTTACCCTTTTTGTGGCATAACAACTTAAACCTTTCAAAGTAAAAGAAAGAGTAGTTACAATTTCAGCTTCTATCGGTAATGAAAAACTTTTTCGATAAATCAGTGACTTGTAAAGAGCTATCTTTAATAAATTATTCAGGTCGTCAATAAGTAAAATCCAGATACTTTAACTTACTTTTCCCTTTCGGTTTTGATTTCCCTTCTTTCACTTTTCCTCCTGTGATAGCTGCAAGCTCTGCTTCTAGGTCCCCATCATCCCCACCTTCCTCTGCACCCAGCAGCATCTCTTCAGGACTGAAATCTACAAACAGCCCCAGCTGGAGCCAAGAGAAAATAAAAAATTAATTTAAAAAAAAGTGCAGTTAGAACAAAGATATCACTCAAAAAATCACACTGCATGGATTATTTAAACATTTTCATGCATTCTGGATTCTGTTAATTTCTTTTAAAGCCCACTGTCACACCACTTCTATTACCAAAAACAATGCACATCAGGACCCATAACTGATGTAAGGTACATAAATCTTAATAAGCCACAAATACTCCCTCTGAAACTCTACACAGCCAAGGATTTCTTAAAAATCAAGCCTATCTAATAGTCTGACATAACAAGGTAAAATAAAAGGATGTCTTATACTGAGCCTCATGAAGCAGATACCATCAGGGAAGTTCAGGGCAGTTCCTGTAACAGCTAAGCTAAAAAATATTCAATCATCATTCACACAATACAGGTCTGACGTGCATACACTGCGGAGATTTCAACCTTATCTCTTGGAAGAAGCTATATTCACATATACAGAACTGTTCTATACTTCTTGTTACCTCAGTCTGTAAATCAAACACATGGAAAGCGCAAACACAAACACAAGGAAACACAGCCATTACAAACCCAGCAATGCCTGCACTACACTGGAGTAAGCAATCAACTCTCTAGAACAGATCATCAGCTAAGCAACAGCATCTCAGGTAATATTATTAATAACAGCAATCAGAATTTGACAAAGTAGTGGGGGTTATCACTCAATTGCTGTAAAACATGCCAAAGGATATAAGTATCAGAGAAATCTCAGAGGTCTTAGTCTAAAAGGTATTCTTCTAAGATGCCATTTTATCACGATTTTTATATTGCCAGTTAAGATACTAACTGCCCCAGAAATAACAACACATTTATTCAAAGTATGCTAAGCTTTTTCATAAACATGAATTAACTGAAGTAGATTCATCCCATGAGGTAGGTGGAGTAGCTTTTCTCAGACTTTTTCAAAGCACAAGCTCTTGTTGGTTTATTAGTCAAGTAGGCAGCAGTTCAGCTTCTCTCAAGCAAAGGAATAAAAATCAGTCGTCATTATCACAAGGGTTAACAATCTCCTCCTGCCTCCAAGCATCTGAACTGCTGTGAGAAGCTGAAGCTGCCTGTCAGTTTATAAACTACTGTGAATAAGTAATAACTTTTTTTTAAAACTCTGTAGGAATTGAGGTGCTGGCAGCTACTGCCTTGAAATATTTTGCGTCCCTCTTTGAACCCTTTTATAATCCCAAAGGAGAATGTGGAACAAAGCTGAGAAACACTGATTCCAAGGACCAGGAACAGTATTCAAAAACAGCAGCTATTTGTTTACCAGCTCTGATCCTGCCCTTGACATTCTGTAAAGCACTGGGCAGATCAGTTAGCCACCCTCTGCCTTACCCATCTCCTTTCGGTAAAACAAAACTAATACATTTGCAGTCTTGGATAGAATGGAAAGAAGGTCAGGACAAGACTTAATTAGGAGATATTTATAATGGTGATCTAAAGATTCAAGTTCTATATAACACACATACACCTTTTATCAATGTGCAAAATGGATCAGGAGCACATGTGATCTGTTCATTACTACACTGCAAGTGTAGAAAGTGAAGCAAGCGTAGTAATGAATGAAGTCAAGAAGAGAATCCAGCAGGTCTAGCTGTCTCTCAATCTGTTCAGTAAGGCACATTTCCAATGAAATTAATAGCATTAAAGAAATCTTTAATAGAACAGAAAAAAAGATGTTAGAAAAAACCTGCAGTTGATACACTACATAGCACAAAACCAGTTCAAATTGAGTTAATTTGCAAGTGAACAAGCCATGAGTATATTTGTTTCAAGACACAATCCTCCATGCTTTAAGACAGGCTGAATAACTAACTGTATTGAATTAGAAATTAGTAAAATATGTTAATTGGATCCTTTATTTACTCTTTATCTTTTTAGACTGTGGTTTCTTTTTTTGGAAGGGGGAAAGAGATTTTCACCTTTTACCTTCTTCCCTGTTCAAATGAACTAAATCATATACTGCCTCTCCAACTAAGAAATGCAAACTTTGTATTAGAGCAATGGTGACATTATGGATCTCTAACTAAACCATTCTGCCTCCAGTATGAGAACGCTGGTTCCTAAGAAATCACCAGAAGAGAGTATCTTAAGCTATTTACTCTATTCTAATATTCTATTCCAATCTCTCTTCGTATTTTTCTATAATCTTATCAGTTATTCCTCCTCTGTATGTTACTTGCCTCTATTCTACTGTCAAAAGTTTCTAAAGTTCCATTCTGGTTCTAACACATTCTGTACCTCTAACTGTACTCTGTTTTTCTTCCACTATTCTACCCAGAATTTTGCCTTGGCTGTATTTCTAATTTTGACACTGTTGCCTGACTTCCTACACCTGCCAACCATGACTAAATCATGTTTCTCTCCTCAAGGCTTCTGAAACTACATCCAAAGGTAAAGAGTATGAAAAAACCCACAACACACAGACACATCTAAGCTCACTTTTAGCTACAGAAGAGGGCCACAGGCTTATCAGTCTATTTGTTGCAAGAAAAAAATGACTATACACAGGGAAATTAAAACTAACTGTCTCTGGTGTAGCACCTTAATGTTCTCTCATACGTGCCCCAAATGTGTTATTTGATATTTTGGTTGTCTTATTTCTGTTTTCTTAGAGATGTAAGAAAAACCTCCACATAGTTTTTGAGGTTATTATTAAATCTCAGTACAGCTGGGGTAGGAAACTACTATAAGCATGAGTCATGAGGTCTCCTATGAAGATTACAGCATTACAACATTGTGGCTTCCTTCAAGAGCTCCACTGCTGCATGCGAGAGATTTACTTTCAAGAAAAACGCGCTAAAGAAGCAAGCAGGAAAACAGGCACCACACAATTTCAATTTTTTCATGGTCCTGCAATATCTTATTAACACATGAGAGATTCTAGCAGGAAAACAGCAGCAAGAGGTCTGAACGAGACTACCCTTAAGAACGGTAGGAGTAGGAGGTTTCCCTACCTGCTTTGCAACCACAACTCCCTGGCCGTTTGCCTTCCTTACCTGCTTTGCAACTGCAGCTCCCTGGCCCTTTGCCTGAGGGCTTTTTTTAGGTCTTCTGCCAAGCATGCTGGTTCATGAATTTCCCAAGATTGTGTCTCTAAGGGACTGAGAGCACACGAGATCGAGCGTCAGTACCCTCGCCTGTCTCAACGCACGGCAAACCGGACGAAGGCAGGCAGCGCACAAACACGCACCCGCAAACACCGGCCGACAACCAGGAAGGAAAGCGTGGGGCACACACCGTGTAAGACGCTCCTGAGGGCCCAGGCCCGCCAGTGCCGCCTTCCTTCCCCCGCAGCCGCCCTCCGCCGGGCGCCCAGCCCGGCCGCACCCCTCCCTCCGCCTCAGGCGACTCGCACCGGGCTCTCCCCCGCCCCCGCAGCCCGGCCCGGGCGGACGGGCACGGCCGCTCGCACCCGCGGTTAGTGGACGGCGGGACCCCCCCCCCCCCCGGGCCCGGCGCCGGGGGGGGGCGGGGCAGGCCCGGCCCGCCCCGTACCCCTGTGGAGCCCTCCCCGCCCCGGCGCAGGGAGGAGCCGGCGGAGGCGATAGGCTGCGCGCCCTGTAAATAACCACCGCCGAGGGGCCGCGGCCGGCACCGCGAGAGGCCGGCCCGCGGCGGGCAGGCCCCGGCTCACCTCGGCCTCCCGCCGCCCGCGGAAAGGCGCCCGGTGAAGCGGCGCCCGCCCGGCACGGGGACGCCTGCGGCCGCGGCTCCGAGGCAGCAGCGCGCCT